TTTTTTCACTCAAACAGGAACTAACATGAACTCAACACAATATTTTTTCACTTGTTGGAGTCATGAAGAGCTGAGAAAATTAAAATAAATGAAACTTCAGTGTTTTTGCAGAATTTTCTGTGCAGTGAAATAGTTTTGTCAGTTTTAGTAAAAGCTGAAGCAGATGTTGTGCACAGATGTTTCTGTTCACACAGAAGGATCCAGTTCTTCATAAGGTCACAGGAAAACAGACCACAGAAGTGTTGTGTGTGTGTGTGTGTGTGTGTGTGTGTGTGTGTGTGTGTGTGTGTGTGTGTGTGTGTGTGTGTGTGTGTGGAGTGAATGAAATTTAGTTGACACACCTTTGACTTGTTAAATCGTTTAATCTTTCAGAACCAGGAATTAACGTCACTGAACCCAAAGTTCAAGTTTTTGGACCTTCAGCTAAAGAATGCAAAGATCAGAAGAAGAAAAGGAAGAAGACTYTGGTGTGCGTGGCCTCTGGTTTCTACCCGGATCATGTCACTGTGACCTGGAACATGACCGGGGGAGAACTGGAAGGAGCTGCGGCGACGGACGGTGCAGCTCAGAGAGACGGGGACTCTTACAGGATCAGCAGCAGACTGAGGGTCCCAGCTGAGCAGTGGTTCAGTAAGGAGACCAACTTCACCTGCACCGTCACCTTCTTTAATGGGAACATCACCACTTCTCATGTTGACTGGATCACATGTATGTTACTAAAAATACACAATCTAAACCAAACATTTATGTCCCACATCAGTTCCCTCATTATTTTTATCTTTCTCTTCCTTTCAGCAAATCAGGATGATGCTGGCCTGACTCGAAGTAAGTGCTTGTTTTTTCTTCACACAAAGAAACCAAAGAATATTATTTACAACAAACTGAAGAAAAGGTTAACTGGTTAAAAACTGTCCTTATTGGTCTTCCTGCAGAGAGATATCTGAGCATCACCCAGAATGCCAAACTGTCCTACGTTGTTCTGATYWTGAAGAGCTGCCTGTACGCAGYCTTCGTCTGCTTCCTGGTCTGGAAGCTTCAGGTTTGGAAAATAAAATCTTTTAGCATAAAACTGTGTAAATTTGCACACATCGGAAACAATAGATCACTTTGTGTTATTTGATTTATATGTGATTTATTGTAAAACAAGTTAATGGTAAAAGTTATCATCTTTGTTTCAGAGTTCAGGAAGAAAAGCGAAGAAGTGAGAGCTGATGTGATCCTCAGCAGATCCACGTTTCTGCCTTCGGACAAATCAAACCGAACAAACTGAAACTTCCTGTTTTTGCTTTTAGCTGATTCAATTCTCCAAATGTTAGGGGTTTTAAAGTTTATTCATTTTTTTTAGTTTATTCATTTAAAACAAAACAACATAAATTCAACATACAACAAAAAATCTAATTAAATGAAAGGTAGCAGATGAAGAAAATAATCTTATGATTTCTGACCCGTTTCTTAAATAAATTCAATCAAAAAACCTTCAATTTACAACATACAAAAAAGGTTTAATTCCTTCATAACTCATACATATTTCTCCAACAGATTTACCTTTATCATTTTCTTAAATTTACACACTGATCTGGTTTTTTAAAGTTATCCTCCAGATTATTCCATAATTTAATTCCCTGGACTGAAATAATCCGTTCCTTCAAACTGGTTCCAAGTTTAGGTTTGACAAACATTTCAATCCCCTTCAAATTGTAACAACTCACTGTTGTAACAAAATATAATTGGCTGTTTGAAGGTAAAATGTTTTTATGGGCCTGATACATCACTGACAAAATCCTATAATCAACCAGATTATAGGATTTTACTAACTTTGATGGAACAATGAATTTGAGGGGTGACTATAATGTTTTCTGGTAATAATTCTTACAGCTCTTTTTGTCAAATAAAAACAGGATTTGTGATTGTTTTACACGCTTCTCTCCAAACATCAACACAATAAATTAAGTGTGGAACAATTATTGCGTTATACAACATAAACAGTGCTGTTGAGCACCTGTGTGCATGTTTTTATTTTAATGTAAATGCTTGTGTTTTTATTATTGAGTAATGTTGAACTTGTTTCATTTGATATCTTTGCTTTAATAAATGCTGTTTTCAGTCTCGTGATGTGATCTGCTGTTTGACTTTTGTCGGCAGAGACTCTGACCACAGACGACTTGGTTTGGTCTTTTTAGTTTTCTGAGTGACTTTTACTCAGATGTAACTTAAACATCTGTGGAAAGTTTCACATGCTGGAGGATAAATGAGTCATCAGATACATGTAGTCATGGAATCTGATGACATTTGATGAAAACAAGTGATGAAAGTTTGTTCACAGCTAAAGCTTTCTGTAGGTGAAGCACTATCAGTTTGAGACAAACTTGTGAGTCTGCCTGCCAACAGCAGGAAGTCAGTGTTGTGATGTGTGTGCAGCAGCAGTGACAAACWCTGAGTGGGAGATGAAACCTGCAGAGAGAGACAGGATGTGGTCACAGAGCAGCCTGCAGAGACAGAGCTGTGCTGAGAAACTGGGTTCTACCTGACCACAAGCTCTGAGTGCACCTGCAGCTCTGCAGACACACACACACACACCTAAACAAACCACACACACACCTAAACAAACCACACACACACACCTTCATTTCTGTGTCAACTGAAGCTAAAATTTCAACATGTGGGTTTTATGTGACAAACATCTGTTTACTGAGATCTGGAGCAATAAAACAAACATTTTTCTTAGTTTCATCCGAGACATTTTAATCTTTGTTGTACATGATACAAAAAATCACTTTGAATACTGAATAATGTGGGATATTGGGAACAAACAGACTCATTATTTTAAAAATCAAATGTATTGAAATTCTGGAACCTCGTAAAATTTAAAACTGTACAATTTATGTTTAAAGTAAATCATCGACTTCCACACAATATACAAAAATGTTTTGTGACAGAGAGGGGGGCTATAATTTAAGAAGAAAAGGAAAATTTWAAAAACATTGTATTAGAATAACAAAAAAGTTTTTATCAGTGTGGGCTAGATTTATGGAATAAATGATGAGCTCAAAAAAAATTACAAAATTAAACCAGCTTAAATTTTTTAAAAAGGAGTTTACTGGGAAATATGTTATGTAGGATGGGTGTCTCAATATTATTTATGTTAGAAATGTATAATTAATTGCACATGTAAGGATGAAAATGTAAGATTTAATGCTCATTCAGTGTGGGAATAATTAGTGTTTATCTGCTGTGAGAACATTTAAATGTTATGAGCTGAGAAGGGCAGGAAATCAAACATCTTGTATCTTTTACCTGCTCCTTTTCCAACAAATAATGTAAAAAGGACCGGCCTAGAATGGATTATTAGTTCAGATCTGATGGGTTCTTTTAATCTTACTTTTTTATTTTGTTTTGTTGCGTAAAGATTATTATTAATACATTCATTTGGTGGAGGAAAGGCACAGATATTATACTATTTTTTCTTCTTTCTGCTGCCTTTCATTTCATTTTCTTAGTTTGTTTGTATTTTATTTTTATCATTCTTTTATTTTATTTTTAATGTAATGAAATGAATAAATGAACGTTTAAACAGCTGCTCCTATTAGAGTACATAAAAATCAAAAMGCTGATGGAAAAATAGAAAATAATCAATTCAGTCAAAAAAAGTTGATTTAAACATTAAGCTGTTTTTATTGGTCATGAACATAACTAACACGTGGTGCAGCGGTTAGAACTGTCCCRTCTTTGTGAGCAGGTCGCAGGTTCACCTCCTGTCCTTTCTCTGTGAAGTTTACATGTTCTCCCTACAGATTTACAAAAACAAACATCTTAGGTTCATTGTAACTCTAAATGGTTCTGAGGTATACGTGGATAAATTATTTGTCTTGTTTCTGTGTGTCCCTGTGATGGACTGGGGACCTGTCCAGGGTGTCCCCTGTCTCTCACAGTGACTGCTGGACAAAGACACTGGCTCCCCATGACCTGCAAAAAGGAAACATGTAATGAAAATGGCTGCAAGGACAGCCTACATGAATTAGTTTTATTACAAACAATGGTTGACATTTCCAACTTTCCACAGAAACATAAAGTCACTGACTTAAACCAACATCCTGCTGCTGTTTAGGTCAGGAGAGACCAGATAACTGTCGAAGTTTATTTAGCTCAGACTTTTTCCTGTAATGTGAAAAACATTTCTYGGATCAAATCAAATATGTTGTTTATAAAAATATTCTCTGATACAGATTATTAAATTCAATCTAAAAGCTCTGAACTGTGTAACAGACATCTGAGCAAATTCTGCAAAAAAATGAGAGCATCTGAGAGGTGAGCAGTAAAGATTAGTTAACACTTATTTACTTTATAATTTGGGTTTTATAAACTCATTGGGCCTCATGTAAGAACCGTTGGTACACAGATTTGTTCTTCAGTTGTGCGTACGAGTGATTTAGGAG